ATCCCTCAAATTTAAAGCCACTCCAATAAAAAAAAATGGGCATCTGAAATGAATAGGTCTTTCTCAGATGAAGAGATACAAATGACCAATAAATGCATGAAAAAATATTCAACTTTGCTGGCCATTTAAGAAATGCAAATTAAAACAGCACTAAGATTTCATCTCACTTCAGAAAGAATGGCTACCATCAAGAAGTCAACCAATAACAAATGCTGGAGAAGCTGCAGGGGAAAAGAAACCCTTTTTCATTGTTGGTGGGAGTATAAACAGGTAAAACCACTATGGAAATCAGTATGGACATTCCTCAAAAGACTAAAAATGGATCCATTTAATCTAGCTATTCCTCTTCTAGATATCTTCCTGAAAGTTAAAAACATCATATTATAGTGATATATGTATACTCATGTTTATAGCAGCACAGTTCATAATAGCTAAATCATGGAAGCAGACTGTATGTCCTTCAACAGATGAATGAATAAAGAAAATGTGGTATTTATACACAACGGAGTTCTTCTTTGTCATAAAGAAAGGTAAACTCAACTCATTTGCAGGAAAATGGTTGCACCTTAAGACCATAATGTTAAGTGAAGGAAATCACACAAGCTTAAATATCACATGGCATAGAGAAGCATATTTGCTTATCTCTGGCTGGCCTTAAACTAAAAAGTACAGCCAAAAATTAGGGAAACTGGCATACATGATCAAGTTTGGTCATTTGGGGGCCAATTACCACAAAGGTTGTAGTTTAAATTCCTGGATTGATTATACAGGTATTTCAGGCTAGAGTTTAATTTTTATAGATGTTCTGGCCATTGTCTGTTTGTATATTCAATATCTCACTAGAATGTTCCCATCAACTTTTCACAAATAATTACAAGCTAGGTACTACCCAAATGCTCATCATTATTGGAATCCATAAATAAATGGAATATATGAAATGCACAATAAAATATTATCTAGCAATGAGAAGGAATAACTATAACTATGCTCAACAATGTGAGTAAATCTCACAAACATAATATTGAACAAAAATTAAATTAAAAGACTGCATACAATAAGACTGTGTTTATATGAGGCACATAGAACCAGCCTAACCTATGCCACTAGAAGTCCAAATGGTGATACCCTTGTGAGAAGTGAGAAGTAGTTATAAGTACTTGACAGGAATAGGAGGAAATGTTCTGTGAAGCAGGTAATAACTGTTTTTTGATCTGGGAACCTGGTTACATGGTGTGTATAGTGAAAATTTATTAGTATTTACAATTATGATATGAAAACCTATATGTATATTGGTTTCCAATAAAATGTTTATAACAATCTAATGCTTCATTTTTAGAGGGGAAATTAGACTAGAAGGTAGTGACTAAAACACTACTTATTTTCACTGTATAACAATAGCATTCTAAAATAGCTACCTTTTTAACTCACCTTATAACCTTAGCCATGAGGTATCTATTAAAATGTACCTCTTAGCATAACCTAGGAAACCAGTTCTGTACTGCTGGAGGTGGGAGAGGAGACTCTCTTGTCTTCCCAGTCAGAAGAATTATTTCTATTGTCAACGAAGGGTAGAAAGGGCTCCAATTAAATATTCAGACATCTTCACTGGAGTATGTTAAAAATTATTCCTCCTATATTGTTTAACCAGGTTTTAGTCTATTCATATAGTATTTGTTTTCTTTACATACAGGAGAAAATTCTCTGTATATTTTATTTTCAAGTTCAGTTCTCTCTTGCCTATAGCAAAATGCTCTCTTTTTTCCTCTCTGCCTCTAAAAAACAAATGTAATTTCCACCTAAAATAGCAGAATAAAATTGCCTCTGTAGTTTAGGTCCTAGAAAACAGGCTCTATTTTAACAGTGTCAGTTCCATAATTCCTACTTCACATAATTACATAATTCAAACTGATTATTTAACAATCCCCATATTTTAACTGCGTCTTTTCTGTACATTTTATTCCACAGCAACATGCTTTCTAGCTCTTCCACAACCATTTTGCTAGTGGAAGATATCTCAAAGATTTCTCTCCACTTTATAAACTACCCAGAAAGGAAAGGGCTTGAAGGTTTGTGATAACAAGCACTAAGAACTTTCTAGCAGAGCAATTAGATTTTGAGAACCATTAGGGTGCAAGGCAAGGGTCTTGGAACTACACATATGAAGGGATAATGGTCAAGCATATAGGATCTTTATTAGGTCACCAGAGTCAAATCTTAGACATATAATTTACTATCTCTGTAAAGATGAGCTATTTACTTTACCTCTCTATGATTCAGTTTACTGATTTGTGAAATAAAGGTTTCTGCTCCTACTTTTTTAGGGAAGTTAAACAGCATATCATGTGAAAACATCTTAGAATCATCCTCGGCACATAAGAACTTGATACATGTCAGCTTTTACTACAAGAAAAGATGACATCTAATGTTATTTTTGCCAAATTGCTTATTGACAAAGTACTCCATCACCACCTTGATAGCCTGCCATGTTCTCTTCTGTAGTCACTGCATCCATGCTATCAAGGAAATGACAAATGCATTAAGTGAACTTGCAACTGGGATTGTGGCACTGGGAAGTCCTTAGCCCAGTCTAGCTCGTGGCTTTTACAAATGAACACACTGGAGCCCAGAGATGTTGCCTATTTTAAACTGAAACTCCCACATTTAATTGGGCTGATGGCAATATTAGACTTTAGGTCTCTACATTCTTTGGCCAAGCACTGGGCTGAAGAAGCCTACAAAGTGGAAGATTAACCCCTCCTCTTATCTGGCTCACATTTGACCCCACCAAGGGGAATGAGTAAGTAACACTGGTAGGGGGGCCCACCTGGCTGGCAGATGTCTATTTTTAGCCTCTATAGATGGCCTACTCCCTGCAGATTCACACAGGCTAACAGACTGCTGTGGGATTTAAGGCACTTTCCATGGTGTTGCTTGGTGGTTGCCATGCCAACAGAATTTAATAGAAACAGAGTTTTTTAGTAGATTATTCGGGTGGAGGCTTTAAAACCAGATTACAGCTACAACTCTGAAGGCTAAATGATGCATATGATTTGTACTGGCACATTGTAGGCATGCCATAATACTTGGAGAAAGACAGAATGAATACATGGATTCAATTAGTTGCATCAGGAACTTGGAAGACAGTAGTAATGGAGAGTCGATCTGCTAACTAAAGACAATACTTGAGGTCAGTATAGAGCAAGTTCACTTGCACCTTCCTTGGGAAGTGCTGCAGCCTGGATTTTCACAATTACCTGGCACTCTGTGTGTGAAATGATTTGTCAGACTCCAAAGGTCTGTTCACAATCTTTAGGCTGCTTATTAGTCCTGCAACCCAGGGGTTCTGACTGCACACAGATGTTTGCCAATGTAGCTGCAAATGAGTACAAAAGCTCTCCCTACCTCGAGGGATGTTAAAAGATTTAATGAAATAATAAAATGCTTAGGGAGAGGAAGGCAGGAGGATCACGTGTTCAAGACCAGTCCTGGCAACGTGGTGACTTAGTGAGGCCCTGTTTCAAAATAAAAATGAATAAATAAAAATAAGAAGGGCTGGGTATGTATGTAGCTCAGTGCAAAGGCCCTGGGTGGGTTCAACTCAGTACTACAAGAAAAACCCCAAAAAACAATAAAACAACTCCTTAGCATCATGCCCAGCCCAGAGAAACATAATGATAATGGAAATATAGCTGTTTCGTTGGGAGACAACATATGAAGAAGTACCATGCAAACCAGCAATTCTTGAACTTTAGTAGTCATCAGACTCACTCCAGGTGGCAGGGACCCACCTCTAGGTTTCTGATTCAGTGGCACTGCAATAAGCCTATAATAGACATTTCTAATAAGTTATCAGGTGACACTCATGCTGCTGGAGGAGAGGGGCGTGAAGCTGTGTGCAAGTGAGACTTTGAGAACCACCGGTGCAATCTGAAAGGTCCTAAATGTCTGTGGATCAAAGCTGAACCTCCCACAATGCACAGCTCTTGATCCTGCACAGAACCTCTCGGTAATCATCTGGTAATACTTATGACATTTGTAGAGTGATAAAAGGCCCCAGAAAATCTCTCTTTCACTTGGCAGGATTTTTACTTCAGGACCAGAAAAAGGTGAAGTTGTCTCAGAATTGGGAGAATTCTGAGCCTGAGCTTTTCACCTCTGCCACAAAAGCAGCCAGGGTGACCTGGAATGCTCTGTCCACGATGACCAGGATAACCTGGGCCTCCATTATGTACTCTTTTCAGACTGTACAGTTTTTCACTAAATGAATTAATTGCTGGAGTACATACACTTTTGACAGCGAATTAAAAGGCAACATCAATGAAATACTGTATAATATTTTCATCGAGAACATACCCCAGCAAACTGTCTACCTCGATGTATGTGGAGTGTGTATTAGTTCCCTTTCTGGTTTCTCTTTTTTACAGGTATGTAGGCCCCTCTCTTATCCAGGGTTTAAATCTTAGAGTAAGGATTTGTATCCGCTGTCTGCCAAGCAGGGGCTCTTAATTGCATTGATGTGATGATTCATTTGAACTAAACAACAACAACAAAACCAACAAAACCCACTAAGATAACTATTGAGCTATTTACAATTCAATAAAATCAGGTGAAATGAGTAATAGCCGCTAAGGACAGACTCCCCAAGGTGTTAAGATGACAAGAAAACCCAACAGTACTGGTACTTTTGTTCTGGTTTCATATTTCAGGAGTTGGACTAGGAGTATCTCAAAGTTGGTGTAAAACAGAACAAAAATCAACAAGCTGGGACATCAGAAATCCTCAGAAGGAGAGAAACGACTCTTTAGGATGAGAAATCTTCATTTCTCTGGGGAAAGCGGCATCCCTTCAGAGATTAGGGTGCAGGTGGGAGCTCTGGTTGAGAACTGTTTATCGGTAAACTTTATGAGCTCTAGTCCTGCCTGTTAACGGAGCTTCAGGATCCTCTGCTTGGGCACTGCCTAGACTCGGTTAGTTATTTGGGGACATTCGTGCCCTGTCTCTTAAGATGATGAAGTCCTTATATAAAATATTGGACATTCCTGCCGGCAGCTTCTCAAGAAGATGGTCAGCCCTGCTTCATCCTCATCTACAGTTTCTCGGTCCCCGTAACTGCAAACTGCAAAAAGCTTGCCAGGGCCTGCAGGAAACGCAGTGCCCGCGGGGCTGGCACGCGTCTTCCCCGGCCTCTCCGGGGACTGATCACAGCATCTCTGCGTGATGTCAGCGGAATCCTGAGCCGGATCCTGCGCCCCGACTGGAGCAGGGCGGCCGGCCTCTTGCCATCCGGGCAGAGACAGGGCGGTACCCGCGGGGGGTGGCAGCCCCGGGGCCGCTGCGCCCGCGCCACTCTCCGCCCTGGACGCCGCTCGTCCGGGAGCGGGGGTGCGGCAAGGGTGCGGCGGGGGGCGGGAGGCAGAGAGCCCGGCTCAGCCTGATTTACGGCTCTGCTGAAAACCGCTTGACTACCGCAGCTTCAGCCTCGGTGGCCGCGGCAGCAGCTGCAAGACAGCAACAAGTCGGGTAAGTGGCAGCCCTGGGCATCTGCGCCCGCGGCCCGGCCCGGGCTGGGGAGGGAATCTTGGCCTAAGCAGCACCGCGGGGACTTGGGGGGAGCGGCCCTCCTGCGGGAACTCGTCTGCGCACCATTCCTCTGTGCGCCCGCGGGCTGGCGGCAGCGGGCGGGGGCAGGGAGAGTCGGGACCCCAGAGGCGAGTGGGGTCATCAGTACCCTGCCTGGCGCTGGCGGAGTAAATCGGAGCTTTTCCGCCAACCCTTTGCACTGAGGTTTCCGCTGGGCCCATAAAAGCCTGCGTGCTCCGGAGTGCCTGGTTACCTGTCTCCCTATCCAGAGATGTCACCCGGTTCCCATAGCCCCTCCAGAATTTCCACTTCCCTTTTCTCCACCTCTTGCCAGCGTCAGCGTCCTGGGCCCTCAGCTGCCCCAGGGTTTGCATCCCATCCCCAGAAAGCCAGCAGTAAACATCCCAGTACAGCACAGGAAAAGGTTCCCTTCTCCGGGGCCACATGCTTATTAACCCGAAAGCTTTGCTCCTACTGACTGGGGATCATTTGCACTTTGGCTTTTGGAGAGGTTGAGAACCTGATAAGGACACTTCACCGTTAGACCCATCTAGGCTCCGTCCTTGAGGCGCCCAATGCTTGTTGCCATTAGATTAAGTAGAAGCTGTTTCTGGAGGGAATAGATATGCACGGCTTGCAGAATTAGATTGTAATAAGTCATCTGTTGCTAGGGTGAAGGTAATAGATTCCTACAAGGAAACAAGAACTTCCTGTTACTAAAGGAGTTATCCTGATACCTGTCTGGTTCAAAATTGGCCATCTCTATAGCTTGTCAAGTTAAAAGAGAATCTGCGACAAGGCAGAACACCGTAATATAATAAAATCTTGGCCATAGTCCTGCTTATATTAAATGATATTTAATTCATTGAGTCCCCACATTTCAGTAAGGTTAGAGAACGGGACCATTATTGTTATGATTATATGTTGATTTATTTCATCATGCCAATAATGAACATTAAAGGCAAAAATATCAGATTAAAAATTTTTCAGCTGATGATGTGCTCTTTGCTACTATGCTTAGCTTGAGTAATTTTTCCTACACTTCAGGAAAGATCAATGAACCTGGTCTCTTAGGAGCTATTTTGACAATTCATGTGGATTTTTATATGTATGTAGGCCACGGTTGTACATGTCGTATGTATACCAAATTCAGAAGGCCAAGAGACTTGAGTTTCACTTCTGGATCTGCTTCAACTTGGCCTTGGATTCATTACTTCCTTGTTCCAATTTTCTCATCTGCAAAGAAGGAGTGATACCCACCTTTTTTCTTTCTTTCTTTCTTTCTTTCCTTTCTTTCTTTTCTTTCTTTTCTTTCTTTCTTTCTTTCTTTCTTTTTCTCCCCCTCCTCCTCCTCCTCCTCCTCCTCCTCCCCCTTCTTCCTCTTCTTCCTCTTCTTTTTTTTCTTTTGGCCTAGGTAGGGGCTGGTAAACTTTTTCTGTAGAGATAGTAATAAATAGTTTTTGCTTTGCAGGCCACAGTCGCTGTCTCAGCTCTAGTACTTAGCTCTGACATTTGTGCAAAGTCAGCAGATGACACAGAAAGGAAAGGATGTAGCTGGATTTTGTCTATGATCTGTAGGTTTTAATTTCAATATAAAATCCAACATAAAATATATGCAAATGCTGTTTTAAGCCAGAAAGCTGCCACCCTTATAGACATAAGCAGTAATCATTTAGGTAGCATTTTTTTTTTAAACAGACATGTAAACTGCCCATTTTCTCCCTCACAGGACTTTTAGAGTAATGCAACAGAAGGCTTTTGAGGAAAGCAGATATCCTTGGCAGGAATCCTTTGAGAATGTTGCTGTGTGCCTGCCATTCCGCTGCCCAAGGTGTGGAGACCATACCAGATTTAGAAGCTTGTCATCTTTGAGGGCCCATCTGGAATTCAGTCACAGCTATGAAGAAAGAACCCTCTTGACAAAATGCAGCCTCTTTCCATCTCTCAAAGACACAGACCTCATCCCTTCCTCAGAACTTCTGAAACAGGGAAAATTGCAGAGCCACGGCCATGTGGTCAGACAGAAACCAAGCTATGTTAACTTGTATAGCATTTCTCATGAACACTCCAAAGACCAGAAGCCATTTGAGGTGGTGGCAGAGAGGCCTGTGTCCTATGTGCAGACCTACACTGCCATGGACATACGTGCAGACTCGCTGGATGGGCCACGGTCAAGGCCTGGACTTCCCACCTCCGACACCAAAGCTGCTTTTGAGGCACATATCAGAGAAAAATTTAATCGGATGGTTGAAGCTGTGGATAGGACCATCGAGAAGAGAATTGATAAACTCACCAAAGAGTTGGCCCAGAAAACTGCAGAACTGTTGGAAGTTCGGGCAGCTTTTGTGCAGCTGACTCAGAAAAAGCAAGAAGTTCAGAGACGAGAGCGAGCCCTGAACAGACAGGTGGACGTGGCTGTGGAAATGATCGCTGCACTGAGGCAGCGCCTGACAGAGTCAGAAGAGGAGCTTCTTAGGAAAGAAGAGTAAGTAGTCCTGAACCAGGCTAGGCATATTGCTGTAGTAACCCCTGCCCCAAGTTAGGGAAATGTCAAGCAAGGTTTGGTTTTTGTGATTTGCAGATGCTTTGGCTGCATTTCTCCTTAACATAGTTGAACCAGAAGGCACAAGGCTTTGATATTATTTATCTTCTCTAGGTATGGTCAACAGTCTAGCAACACTGAAGTCAAAATATCTTAACTCCTTGTTATTTTGGAAATTGTAGACAACATATAATGTTTTTAGTGAGAAGAGTTCCCATGGTGAGATCCACGGTGTACAAACTTGAATTGGATGGGAAGGCAGGAAGTGTGTCCTGGGAAAGTCCGTCCTCCGGACTATCTCTATCTTATATAGTAGTCAAGAACATGAGCTGTTATCTTATTCAAGTATTCAAATATGCTCCAGATACAAATAATTTTGGCTTATTGGCCACTTGCAATTATCTGACCATATTAATGAAATGTCAATAGTTGAGAATCCATTTCATTATAATTTGTATTTGGAAGGACGCATTAGGAAACTGTGATAAAACTGTACTGCTGTGATTTGAGAATTTTCCTAAGGTCTTGACTGCTTACAAAGATTTGGCACTATTTTCACAAGTCATAGGTGATCATAGTAGCTATTATTTGAAAAATCCTTGTACTGTACTTGGAGAAGTGTTTCCTTATCAATAAGTATATATTTAACTCAAACTGGGAAAGTATACAGAACAATTCAGTGTATTTCCCAAATTCAGAATGTCAGATTTCATTTCAAATGGAGGCTCAGAGTACACAGAATCAAAGGAATAAAATTTGATAGAGTAAAATATCCCAGAAAGTAGGATTCCAGATTATTTGAGTGCCATTATAGAAAGTGATTTAATTTCATCCTTTTTGCCCTCTGGCACTTTTCTATCTTGTATTTTCTTTTAAAATATAGTAATTAAAACTTCTTGAGAAACCTTATATTAGTAGCGAGCCTATGCCACGTGTGCTGCAGTAGGCTGTTTGTATCATTGAAAGCTCTACAAGGTTCGCCATCACTGCCCTATATATTAAATCTTTACATGCTTTCATTAGATATTTATATCCTACTTTGGAGCCTAGACATTTCTGTTTATACTAGACATTTCTTAAAATTATGTAGTTAGGATGAATTTGAGTCAGCTACTGCTTCCTTGCCCCCTCAGGGAAATTATTTCTAATGAAAGAAAGCTTTTTTTTGTTTGACTTTTGGTGCTTGTTGCTGGGATGTTAGTGTTTTGACCTAGGTGAGCATGGCCCAGGCATGAGCACCCAAGTGACCCATGCTGCAGGGTTGGGAAAATGGAAGATGGCTTGCTCTGTGTATAGAGAAAAGTTTAGAATTAACTTTGTAATATTTATGCTTGACTCAAGAATAGTGAGTTTAGAAGGCCAGCAAATTAGTGTCTTACATTTATTTATTTTCATGTTTATTTTATTTATAACATTTATGTATATATTTTTACAGTACTGGCAGCTGAACCAGGGCCTTTGCTCTGAGCTATATCACCAGCCCTTTAAAAATTTTTATTATTTTTGTTTGTTTGTTTATCTTGCAGTACTGGAGATTGAACACAGTGCTGGACACTGAAGTACATTTCCAGCTTTAAAAAAAAAATTGTATTGTGACAGGTTCTTGCTAAATTTTCCAGGCTGGATTGAATTTGCTATCCTTCTCCCTCTTCCACTCAGTATTTGTTAATTATACAGGTAATGATGAGTGTAACATTTGGAGTGGTAGCTGCCTGCAGTGTGGGAAGACAAGGCAATTGAGGGCAGGCATGGTTAGATGTAGGTTACTGTCAAGGATCAAAGATTTGTTTGGGGTGGTGGATTTACAAGTGCTTTTTAAAAATTAAAATAGATTTAAAGTGGCCCATGCATGGACCAATAATGATATTGTGTTATGGTTTATCCAAGATTATCTATCACCTGAGTACTAAATGAAAAACATACTTATAAAAACTGTTTAACAAGATAGATTTTTACATGTTAAAAATATTCCTCTTCTTTTAGCAAACTCCACTGTGTTCTCAGGAGACACTACTGTTAAGTTTAGTAATTATCCTTCTAGAACTTTCCTGTATGCATACAGCCACGTATAATTGGTACACACAGAATTGGTACTGTGTTTTCCCAAATATAATCATGACACATACTATTCTACCACTTATACTTGGAATTCTTTTTAGGGATTTTTTTATTTTTTTTTTGGTACCGGGGATCAAACTCGGGTCCTTGAGTTTGCTCAGCAGGCAGCGAAACCACTGAGCTAAATCCCTGGCCCTGGAATTCTTTTTAATGTACTGTTTCTCAGGCATCTTTTGGGCACCAAACACAGAATTATTCCATTTCTTTTGAAAATTCCATGGTACTTCATGGTATGGATGCATTATAATTGATTTAACCAGTTTACTATTGATGAATACATAGTTTTGATCATTTTCCCAGTACAAAAATAGTGCTTCAGTTAATTTTTTTGTACATCTTTGTTTACATCTTTGGGCATACCTAATAGTAAATTACATGTTTGTTTATTTGTTTTTGGTGCTAGAGATCCAACCCAGGGCCTCGTGCATGCCAAGCACGCACTTTCCATCACTGAGCTACACTCCCAACCCAAGTTGATTTTTAGTATGCAATTTTTGGACCAATAGAAAAAAAAAATAATGGTATTTATTATTTTTTTAAAGCACTTGGGCTATTACCAAGTATTCATTTATTAAAAGCCTTCATTGTCTGTTTCTGATTCAAATAATCACTCTCTGCATATAAAATGGGACTGAAAGAGTCTTGTTTTCTAGGAAGGACACTGGAGCTCTTGGTCTGGGAGGGTGATGGTGGACAGCACCCTCAGTGTCTGCAGTGCCTGGCCTGGCCCCTCCTCCCCTGCCAGTTGAATGGGGGTGCACAGCCAGCTGCCCATCTGCCACCCTCTGGATACCAGGTTGATTTGACTGGACCTGCCTGGCTAGCCCCTTTCTCTTCTTACTACTGTCTCATAGGGCTGTGTCTTCCATAAGCAGGAGGCCTTTCAAATAAAGAAGGCCTGTTTGGCCAAGGAACATACCAGAAGCTGGACCCCCTTGCTAAATACCTCTGGGTTCATTTATATTATTGCCCCATTTGAGATTGACTTAAACTTGGTGACCCATTTGAAACACAGATAGAAGTAGTTTAAAAAGATGCAGATACCTAGTATGTAGCATTCACATAAGACTCTCTTGCCTATGAACTTTCCCCTCAAGTTTAAACGTTCTTTCAAACTGAAATAAAAGACTACAGGAAGGACTGCATCTGCACCGAGGCCTGATATATATTAAATCAACTTGGTTTATATAGTCATATACATATATTCTATGACTGAGGAGCCTGTTTGAATTGGCAATATTTTGTACTTTGGTACCATTGAGTCTCCTTGTACCTACATAGAGAGGTATCTGTAGATTTTGGAGTGCAAATCCCAGAAAAACCTTGCTCCTTGTCATTACAAAGCCAGTGTAACATTAAAAGTCCTACTGAAACAGGTATTTACTTATTGATGAGGAGTCAGAGCTGTTGTGTAGCACTGTCCATAATCAGGTAAATCAATTCTGGCCACCTTACAGTAAGATATCCTTAACAGGAAAGCTTGGGCTTAGATGGTAGCTGAGTTAATCTCTTAGGGTTTGGAGGAATTGAGGGTAAGAACAGTATTCCCAAATTTACTTACACATTGTGCCAGTAGGGCTGGAAAGTGCCAATGGAGCAACTGTGTTGTACCCAGCACTGTGCTGGGGAGGGGTTAAGGGGACATAAAATCCTTGGTATTTTCTCCTAAGGCTCTTATACTCTGTGTAGTAAGAATAAATTATAGCCATGCACCATGCCTATGTCCAAACGCAGGGTAGTTTTAAGATGTGTTAAAGGAAAGCCCCAGCTTCAGTTGATAACACTCAAGAGATCAGTATTTCTATGTGGAGAGGCCACACCGGGGCAGTAAGGAAGAAGAATAAAATTTTCAAACATGGCTGGAAGACTGACATTGAAGGAGCAGCTGGGCTCTCTTGAGATAGCTTGAGTGTACTGTGTAATCTCTGATTTTAGAACTGGCAGGTACCCTCTATCTTTCAGGATGGCACATTCGTTCACAGATGTAGGAAATAAGGTCGAGAGCAATGGAATGACTTGCCCACAGACAAAGATTTAGTAGCAAAGCTGAAACTGCAACCCCATTTCCCTGTCTCTGCTGAGTGCTTTTCCCATTAGTTCACTATGACCTAGCCAGACTTCTGAAAATGTGATATTTGCTCAAAGCATCAAGACTTATGTAATATCAAATGTGGCCCATTTTGGAAGTGGCTTGCTTCGTTGCTATTTTGAGAAGGCTGCAACGGTGACGTCATTTATTTTTCTGCTGTGATTAAAGAAAATGTGAGCTGGCAGCAAAGGTGTTGGAAGAAGGGAGATGAAATGGTGGCATCAGAAGCATGGTCATGCTATTCAGCTTCTGGAACAGCCATCCCAGGGCTTTTAATTTCCCAAATGGCTTTTAACTTGACTCTCCAGATGTTCTCAGTCAGGGTGGGGCTTAGTCACCACCAGCCTTTGATTGCTGTGAGGGGCCTCTTTGTGATTCCATCTCTCATTTCCATCCTACTGCTTTTTGAGCTACGAAAGATAGAATCTATTTCCCTCTCCCTGCACCATTTGCCCTGTTCCCAGCCAGGAGCCCTACAGAAGACACAGACATACTGAAAGCCTGCTGAGTGCCAGGTTCTTTCCTAAGTTCTGCTCAGATAGTGGTAAAGCAAATGAAGTTCCTGCCTTCATGGAGCTTATAGAGTACAGGGGAAAACAACATTCAAACAGATTATCAGAGTAGACAAAAGTCATAAAGCTGTAGCTTGAGACAGCGATGTCCATTTAGGTTTCTAGGCAGAGCTGGGTGTGGAATTCGGCCTTTACAAAGCAATACTGACCTGGTAACTTGCTTT